TCTTCAGCCTCATCATCATTAGCAGCATCATCATCATCATCATCATCATCATCATCATCATCATCATCATCATCATCATCATCATCATCATCATCATCATCATCGTCTGCTTCCTCCTCCTCATTCGCCTCCTCCTCCTCTGCGCTGCGGGTGTTGCAACAACTGGGCGTACGGTCACACGATCAGGCAAAACAAAGGGTTATGCGTCAAGTGTGGCTCGGAGATCACGATTTGGGCCGACTCGCGGCGCAGCCACTCGGGGAAGGACAACCCGCCCTGGGCTAACAACAAGTCGACAGGCACGTATGCAGAGTTTGTGCAAGCAGTTGGCGGTGGCGCTCATCACCCAAAAGAGCACCCCGAAGGCCAAGGAGCTGCCGAAGGCGGCGGTGCTCAAGCAGGCCATTGGGAAGATTAACACGGCGAAGAATGAGCTGGAGGTCCTCTCCAGGAAGCACTCGGAGGCGGTGAAGGTGCTGCAGAAGCTGCACGACCAGATGGAGCAGGCGGCCGCAGAGGTCCGCGAGGCGCAGAAGTGCTCGCGCGGGCCCTCGCGGAGTACAACTCATTGGCGGAGGCCGAAGGCACCGCGGGCAAGAAGGCCGACGCGGGGGGGCCTTGCGCACGACGCCTCCCTCTTCGAGGACATCGAGCAGGAGCAGGAGGCCCAGCTGAAGCAGTTCAGGGAGGATGCCGCGTCCCTCCAGGCACCCCTGCAGCGGGCCCAGGCCGAGGAGGACGAGATGGGAGCAGCGGTCGAGCAGGCCAAGCGCGTCAAGGCGGCGCACGCGCAGCAGAAGCGGAAGGTCGACAGTGCCGAAGGGCCATGCGCACAGGCCCAGCCAGCAAAAGGGCCACATCCCTCTCTCTGGGGCCGGCAGCATCGGCTCGGAGCCCGACCTTCAGAAGCAGAAGGAGAAGGTCGAGAACATCGGCAAGCTACGGACTGCCAGCAAGGCCGGAGCGCGAGCGGGTGCAGAGGCAGCGGGGAAGGCCACTGCTGAGGCGTCCCCTGATGGCAGCACTCCTTGCACTGGCAGTCGTGATGGGGGGCAGCGGCTTTGACCAGTTGGAGTCCAGCGCCTCGATCCTTCTCAAGCAACGTAACACAGTGGGGTGAGAAACCTCACAAGTACCTCAATGAGACTAACTCGCTGGCCGACGTGTTCGCCTTAGCTGAGCTGCTGCGTGTGGCTGCCAGCGGCGTGAGCAAGCTCAAAAAGGACATCAGCAACAATGGCTGGAAAGCAGCGGTCACGGCAGCCACGCCGACGCACCGTTCGCAAGATGGCACCAGTGGTTGAGAGATGCGAGTGGCGAAGTCGCACGTGGCGACGACTTCGCATGTCGAGATGCGCGAGACGATGATGAAGCAGGGTAACGGCGACCCGTTCAGATGGTTTTCAGCGATAAACCTGCATCTGAAGTGAGGCAACCTCATCTTGTTCTCCCTTCACATACTTCCCAAGGAGGGCATGCACGGCAACAACTTCGAGAAGATCAAGAGTTTGTCCACAGTCAGTGGCAGTATTACGGACCCGTGGATCAGAATGGCCGACTGGAAGCGGACGCCAGGGACTGTGGAGAGACCAGGCCTCCCCGCTAGGTTGGGGGGTCATATTATCAGGCCGAACGTGGAGGTCACATGCGACAAGGGCGAGCGCAGCCTCATCGACTTCGCGATGGCGCGCGAGGACGTTGCGAGAGAGATCCACATCGAGGCGGAGGCCGCCATGCCGTGGCGCAAGCACACGGGCTCGCGAGTGGTGGTGCCAGGGCGGGCCGGGGCATGGTGGCACAGGCATCTGGACTTGCCAAGGCCACTTCCGCTGGCCCTCCCACCGCAGAGAGAAAGCCCGACCCTGACAGCAAGCGCAGCAGGCAGAAGGCGGCGGCGCGGCTACGGCAGCTGGCCGCGCTCCCCGAGGACATGCAGGAGGAGTTCGCCGTTATGGAGCCGTCCCCACCCAGGGCGAGAGTAGAGCAGGTGGCCTACGGCAGGTTCGCGTCGTGTCGACCCCGCGTTGGTTCCTGACACCGCGGGGATCGTTCAACATCATCAGCATCACCATCATCATATTCATCATCAAAAGAATAATCATCATCAGCATCATCATTGTCATCATCATCAGCAGCATCATCATCAACAGCATCATCATCATCAGCAGCAGCAGCATCATCACCACCACCACCACCACCACCACCACCATCATCATCATCATCATCATCATCATCATCAGCAGCAGCAGCATCATCATCATCATCATCATCATCATCATCACCATCATCATCACCATCATCTTCATCATCAACATTAGCATAATCATCATCATCATCATCATCATCATCATCATCATCATCATCATCATCATCATCAGCGTCATCATCATCATCAGCAGCAGCATCATCAGCATCATCAGCATCATCAACAGAATCATCATCAGCAGCAGCATCATCAGCATCATCATCAGTATCATCATCGTCATTAGTGTCATCATCAGCAGCATCATCAGCAGCATCATCAGCAGCAGCATCATCATCATCATCGTCATCGTCATCATCAGCAGCACCATCAGTATCATCATCAGCATCAGCATCAGGATCATCATCAGTATCATCATCAGCAGCGGCATCCTCATCCTCATCATCATCAGCAGCATCACCATCATCATCATCCTCATTCTGTTTTTATGAGTGCTAGTGCTATGGTGCTCATTTGTCGTAGCATTATTTGTCGTAGAATTAGCTGTATTACTATGTGTCTTAATATCAGTGATACTCGTATTCATATAGTTGCTTAGTAACCTTGCTAGCATCATTAGTGGGATTAGTATGAGTAGTACTCGTGTTAGTCGTATTCGTACTCTGCGTATTATTAGCATTGTAACTGGGGGAAGCCGAGGTCTCGTGTGATTTCTCTCAGAGCGGTTTTGAGCCAAAGTATCACATATGCATCCCCTTCTGTCCTGCACAGCAAACTCCAATCACAACAAATGTGACAGATAACATCCGCCAGCCCCGTAGGGCTACTAGGCTGTAGGCCCTTTGGGCATACACCAAACTTCAGTCAGGTTAAGCCAAAACCCCTTTCGGCATGGCACACAACCTAGCATAGCCGCACAGCTGGATTAGGGGTTATATACACGCATTATCAGTAATATGAATATACTTATTACTTTTATTATGATTAGTATTCCTCCTCCCCGCTCCCTCCTTCTTCCATCCCCCTGGGGGGCGACAACAAGGTTGCGATACCGCTGCTCCACGGACCTCTGCAAGGGTGCGTGCGAACCAGGCTTTCAAGGCGAATCCGGCCGTGGCGCCGAGTGGGTCGCGGCATCGGTATCGTACCCTCCTTTGACACCCACAGACAGGGTCCGCCCTCCTCCCCCAAGCCCCAGGAGGCGGCTCACCGCGAGGAGCGGCCGATCTCGCAGCGCGGGGGCAAATTTCACTGACGCCGTGCGTCAACCTAGGCCCGCTCGTCGCGCAGGGCGCAGGTTCACCTGCTGGTGCCTGCACGGAGGAGGGCAATGATACACGATACAGATCCACCGCGTTCCTCCCCTCTCCCTCGGGAGCGAAGAGACAACCGCAGATGCTGGGCTGAGGGAACCACCCTGGCGCTCCCCCAAGGCCGACCCCGACCCACCAGCGGTGCTGACCTGCGCGCGGCGCAGGAATCTCAAGTCGCGCACAGGTCGTCACCGCTGGCAGGCCGGGGTCGGACTGTGGGGGGGCGCGCCAGGGGCAACTCCTTCAGCCCAGCGATTGCTGTTGTTTCACCTTCGTCCATGACTCACTCCCACCTCCCAGGAGAAGGGGGGAACAGTCAGGGGAGGAGGGGAGGAGGGCAGAAGGGCAAGCGGATCTGTGCAAGCGTTCGTTGCAGCACCTGCGGTAGAGCTGGCAGCACCGCACGAACGCGCGCGCGAGGTAGGGGCCCGCGCACTCGTGCTGCAGGTCCAGGTTTATCCACGCGAAGTGGTCCACCTCCTCCTGCTCCGCGCAGGCTCTCGAGCCGAGGGTCAGCTCCTCGCGCGGCCAGGGGAGGCAGAGAGTCCTCACTGAGCCGGGGGAGCAGAAGCAGGACTGTCAAAATCGGCGACAAGGATAGAGTTTGGGGGTGCAACACTCTTGGAACGGCGTGAAGGCCGAGGGTGCGCGCACCCAAAAGGTGCTATACAAGGATGGCCATAAACGGAGGATGCAGGGTGTCCTTGCGACGAGGGCCCATCCCTAACGCCGCGATTGACTGCATCCATGACACGCCGCAGCGGGGAACCCATCAGCGCGTCACTGTTGAGAAAGCACCACGTCTTCGGACAGAAGCGAAAGAGTGATACGCCGACAGCGCGTCAGCTCCTGTTATCTCCCCAATAACATAAACGACAGGAGCCCCGCGCGGATCTCAAGGATCGGCGCCGTCGCCCCCTAGCGGCGCGCTGCAGCTGCGATCCAAAAAAACGAGCGGACCTCCGAAAAATTCTGTGTGTGTGCCCTTTTGCTCTTATGTCTGATAGAAAGAATGCCTGAACGAAGAGTGTCGGGGCACAAGGCGCACGCACAAGGCGAACAAGAGGCCTGTGTGCAAGGGGTCCGTATCTATCGTGCTTCTTCTGCGCCTCCTCCCTCGCCTCGATAAGCACGCACACGCGGATCCAATCCCACGGGCATTCGCAAGAGCCCCGCACAGGGCGCTCAATGCCCCCCCCAAGAGGCCTCCGCGCAAGCCTCGCGGAAGCTCTCCTTCCACTCGTGGCAAGCGGGCGCTGCCAGGGCGAGGGGGCCCTGCCGTCTGAGGCCAGATGGGCTGCCTGGAAGGGGGCGGCCCCACTTCAGACCATGCTCGCCTGCACCCTCCGGTGACGGGAACTTGGCGGCGCCCACCAGGGGGTACAGTCGAACCCGAGACAGAAGGACATCCTTCGAGAACATGATGAGACCCTCCGCCGGCCAAAATGAACAGAACATCCAGGGGTGCCTCCCTGGGATGCACGAGAACGTCCCAAACACGACGAATTGGGCACTCTCCTCGCACCGACCTTGACCTCATACCTCGGTCCGACTGTAGGGGGGCGGGGCAATCGGCGGTGGACAAACCTCCCTTTAGTAAACCTCCCCTTAATGAAAACGACCTGCGACCGAAACCGACGGACCTGGACCCGCAAAAATGACGGCCGCGACGCCCTCTCGCGAACCGAAAACGGCCAATTCGCTAATCGACGTGTCAGGGTAGGAGGTCTATCAACCTCCGACTCATACCTCGGTCCGACTGTATAGGGGGACGGGGCAAGGCCGCTTGCAAGGAGGCTGCTCCTTAGAAGGCGCAGGCCCTGCATCTGCAGCCAGGGCCCGCGCGTTCTGAGGAGCAGGCGTGCGTCCTAGAAGCCTTCTTCCCCTCCCCCGAATACCCCCCCCCTCTCTGCGCGAGAGGAATGGTAAGGGGAGGACCGGTTCATGGGGGGGAGAAGCATCTGATGGGCCTGTTCTCCACCACCACCACCACCACCACGAGTTGGAGGGGGGCAGGAGGAGGACGAGGAGGAGCAGAACGAACAGGAGGAGGAGGAAGAGGAGGAGGCGGAGGAGGAGGAGGAGGAGGATCCCCTCCCCCTCCAACTGATGGTGGTGATAATGGAAAACAGGCCCATCAACATCGACCTGGCGGGTTCCGGAAACCCTGAGCCCAAAAACCTTGCCGTCTCTTAGGAGGCCGACGTTTACTTCCGCCGCCTTCCGCTGGCCTTCCGCCGGCTTCCGCCGGCGGAGGCGGCCTCGTTTTGCTTCAGCCGCCCTCCGCCGGCCTTCCGCCGGCTTCTGCCGAGGTAGAGATGCCAACTCCTTCGATCCTCGAAGGCGAGGCTTCTTCTAGAGAGCCCCACCTGGAATCGGCGATGCATCACCGATAGATCGGAGATAGACTCTCGATAGCGAGCGTGCACGTTCCTCGGAGTGGGCAATCAGGCCCGCATCGGCGACGAATGGGCTACTGGAGGTCGATGCATCCCCTCCGAGCCTAACTATCCCCCCCACGCTGCTCCTGATCTGAGGAGGCGAGGGGCCTGCTCAGAAGACCGGGGTCACCCTCACCCACTTCCCAGGACTTCAACGGCGTATTTTTTATTATGCTCTCACGACGCGGGCCCACGAGGGCTATCAAACCCGTCCCCCCGATTGGGCTCTCGCCGCAGATCGGTTTCTTGGTGGCCCTGGGGCCCGAGGGTGAAAAAGCGGTCGCCGTTGGGGCTCGAAGGTCTTAAAAATTTCTGGGGTCGAGGGTCTAAAGTTGGTTCCCACACTGATCGCAAGGTGCGTTCTGACCAGAGTTTCGGGGCGGATCCAGCCATGGCAACGAGAAGCCTCCCCGGAGGCGCAAATATTGCCAAACGCAAGGAAAAACTCGAGCTTCGAACCTCGAACCTCGAAATTCAAACCTGGCCTTCCCCGAATAGAGATATCCCAGATGGGGTCGGAGCAGACGGGGTCGGAGGATCGCGATGCATCGCTGAGGCATCGCCGATGCATTGGCGATGCACAGGCAACGTCGAGGATACATCGGCGCCGTCGGCGTGGAGGAAATCGGGCTCCACATCGAGCCGCATCGCCGATGCATCGGCGATGTGGCGTGACCCTCCGACCCCCTCTGCTCGGACCCCTTCTGGGAGGCCTAGGCTACGAGAACAGCGCCCTTGCACCGAACCATGCCTGGACTCCCTTCAAGCCCCGACCCAACGCGGCACCGTGCACGGTGTTCCGGCCCAGAGGACCGAAACGGTATGCACCGTACCATTCCTGTGTCGATGATCGACGACGCCTCGGGAGAGGCCACCGCGGTACGATGCATACAAATGAGTATCGTCTAACCGATCCCTATCCCCAGCGGCGTGGCCTGGGCCCCACTGGCCGAGTTGCCCCCTTAGATGGGGATCTAGGTCGTTCCATTCGGGTTTCGAGGGGTGTATCCCAAACTGGGGCGGCAACTTGGTGGGGGTCTCGAAGGGGATGGGGATGGGGACAGGGATCGGTTAAACGATACCGAACAAATCGTCCGCGGATAGATCGCACCCCCCGATCTCCTTCTTAAAGATTTCTGTGCCCCAGTCGCCAACGCCGCGGGATGCTCCGCCGGCGCCCTGGTCGGCCTCTCTCGGCGGACGAAGGGGAGGGGGGGAGGGGGGGAGGGCTCCCACGACGAAGCCAGGACAGGGACAAGATCAGAGAGGAACAAATCGGGAATATGTAGGATCTGGCGGTGCTGGAGGATGCATCGGGCACCGCAGCCTTCGCAGAGCGTTCCGGAACGCTCCGAGAGCATTCCAGAAATCTCTGGAACGAGTTTATCCCTGTCCTAGGCCTGCCCGACCTCCCCCTCCTCTGAAGAGAGAGGGAGAGAAAAAAAAAAAAAAAAAACGTAGGGTGGGTATCGGGAGAGGCCATCGCAGCGCACTGAAGCGGTGGGGCGGGGCATGAATGACCGAATCACCACTGGGCATTGTGCCTCAGCACGTCCGCGCTGGGCCCTAAGCACGATCGCGCACACCGATCATACATGTCAAAGGCCGTACCCTGGGCAGCCCTGCTCTGGCGTCGGCGCGCTTTACGACAGGGTAAAACAATATGGATACACCGCCGCCAGGGATGAGGTCAGGCGCTTACAAGGTTATGGAATGAAGAACCAGTAGCTCTAGAAGACCTCTGCGATGTGGCATGGATGCAGTAAAACGATGCTCGAAAGGCGAGGTCCCTGCCTACGGCTCCCGATGTCCGTCAGAAGGAAGATATACTCTCTCTCTCTCTCTCTCTCTCTCTTGTTGGTGTCTTGCGATGTTTGCCTCCAGAGGCCTCCAGGGACCTCTGGAGACTTATAGTGGCCTCCGCGGGGAGAAAGTACAGATCAGCTGTGCTAATCGCGCAGCTGCTGTGGCCCGCCCCGCGCGCGACCACTTTAGCGACCTTGCCCAGGCTGAGCTCGGAACGCTCGAGAAGAGCACCCTTGCACGGCACCTCTGAGACTCCGGCCTCGAACACTGAGGACCTCGGACCAGCCCGTGTGGCGCATCGCGGGTGGGGAAACAAAAAAGGTACCCATACCGCTGCTCCCCGGATCTCTGCCGGGGTGCGTTCTGACCAGGATTTCAAGGCGAATCCAGCGCCGGCGACGAGGGCCTCCCAGGAGGCCCCAAAAAAAAGGAAAGCCAGGGAGGGGTAGCAGTATGGGTACCTTTTCCACCTCGGACTCGCGGGAGCCGTTCGCGCCCCTGCTGCCGGCCTTCGCTCGACCAGGATAGGAGGAGCAGGCCCGAGCTGTGCTCTCTGCTCCCAGGGAGGGCGGAGGAGGGCGGTGGCTCCCCCACCCTCCTCTCGCGGGCGTGAGCGGCGCGCTTCCGTGGACGTGCTCGCACCCTGCCCATCGCTCTACTTCAGCAGCCTGCACCGCATCCTGTGCTGCGCATGAGGCCATCTCTTGACTCAGGCGGCGCGCGACGAAGTTCTGCACGGCACGCTCAACCCATCAATCACATCGCAGTTCATCCACCACCCTCTCCTCCTCCTCCTCCTCCTCCTCCTCCTCCTCCTCCTCCTCCTCCTCCTCCTCCTCCTCCTCCTCCTCCTCCTCCTCCTCCTCCTCCTCCTCCTCCCATCAGTATCCAACGCCAGCATGAGATGGCGTTCGCGGCGAAGTTAGGCTATCCTCCTGGGCACAAGGCCACCTTGGATCTCGTGCGGGATAGGTTGGGGCCAAGAGCCAAGGGACCGGGTAGACACGCCAAGTTTTTAGTGAAATGCTGTGGCTGCAATGGAGTGTGGACCAATGATCGGGGTCGTCGTTCGGGTTACGCGACGGACGGTTTGTGCGAGTGCGGGCAGGTCGACACACTCCACCACAGGCTTTACACATGCACACGCAGAGATGTCCAGATAGCTAGAAATGAATCGGGTGCCACGTCTGAGCATATCCAGGCGGCGCTCGAAGATCCTGACCTAGAGATTTTCACGCGTGGGATCTTTGTTTACCCTGATAGTGACTTGCCCAGGAGAGCCCAGAATCGAATCGATCAATGGGATCGGCGATCGAAATGAATCGGATCGGCGGAAATCGGCAGCCGAGTCGGGAAAAGTCGAATCGGCGGAGATCGGCAGGCTAGTATGCCGCCAACAAGGCATCGGAACCCAAAAGCGGAATGCCAAGTCGAGTCGAATCGGAATCGGAAGCCATCGACATCGAATCGAATCGATTCGGCGGAGTCGAAATGAGCCCTGCTTGCCCAAGCCAAGTACGTCGTCGGAGGTTGAGCTGTTTTGATGTCTTTCATCCTCCTCCTCCTCCTCACCCTCACCCTCTTCGTCCTCCTCCTCCTCTGCCCCCATCAGCTCCTGGAAGTGGCCCTCGGTGGGCCGCGACGCGCGCGCGCCATCCGTTGCCAAAAAAAATGCTAAAATTAATGATTTGTGATGAAGGAGTGCGCGCGCATAGTGGCATGTGCAATGAATGAGGGGGGAGGGGGGCGATACCGGCTGGGCTGGGATGGTACGAGTTCACAACGATGGGGCAAGGTCACATGTAAATCGTACTATCGCAGGGAGGTATATCAAAACCGTGGGGTTCGATCAAAATTCCGACTAAGAAAAAAAGGTGTTGTACAAAATACACGTGATGCAGTCCAAGTTGGGCCAGGAGGCCCCCAGACAGTCCCAAGACGGCCCAAGAGGGCCCCAAGGCGGCCCAAGCGCCCAAGACGGCCCAAGAGGCCCCCAAGACGGCCCCAAGAGGACCCAAAAGAGGGACGAAAAGCAGAAAAAAATTAGCCTTCCAGCCCACGAGGCCCCCAGGAGGCCCCTAGAGCCCCCAAGAGGGCCCCCAAAAGCCCCCAAGAAGCCCCCACGACGCCCTGACAGGCTCCTAAGATGGCTCAAAAAACGCCCCAAGAGGGCGTCCTTGCGCCGATAGGCTCGCCTCCACCGCTCGCACCTCGTCCCGGACTTTCGGCGCGCGACCCCGCGACGCCAGTGTGGCCTGTCGGAACAGACTTACGCTTCGCACACACACATACACACACACACACACACACACACCACCAACCCCATCACACGCGACGCCCAAGCGAGTTAAGGTGTGTGCTGCTGTGCGAGTGTCTGTGTGTGGTGCGTGTCTGCGAATGTCTGTGCGTGCTAGTGTCTGGCGTGCGCCTAGTGTGTCTCTGTATGTGTGTCTGCCGTATGTGCATTTGGTCGTCTGCGTGCGTGAGGTGTCCGCATATGTGTATCCGCTCGGCGTGCGCGCGCGTGCGTTTCCTAACTGGTATGTGTGTGTGTGTGGGTGGTGGTGTGTGTGCATGTCTGCGGCGCGGATTAGGTGGTGTGACTGTGTGTGTGCGTTTCAGTGTGCGCCCACAATGTCTGCGTCTGGAGAATAACACCGAGCGACCTGGATCGGCGGCACTGGCCGAAGGCCACTACAATACACGTGATGCAGTCCAAGTTGGGCAATCTATGTGGTGCAATATACATAGACATGCATACATACATGCATTACATTACACTACAATACATTACATGACATGAATGGCATGACATTACATTACATCACAATACCTTACATTACTATATATATATATATTACATTATACCCATACATACATACATACATACATACATAAATACATACATACATGCATGCATGCATGCATACAGACATACATACATACATACATGCATGCATACATTCAAACATATATTTATAGAGAGAGACATTGCATGCATACATACATACACGCATACATACATACATACATACATACATACATACATACATGCATGCATGCATGCATACATACATACATACATACATGCATGTATACATACATACATACATACATACATACATACATACATACATACATACATACATACATACATACATGCATACATATACATACACATATACATACATACATGCATGCATACATAAATACATACATATATATATGTAAACCTACATACATACATGCATACGTACATACATACATGCATAAATACATACATAACAGTACATACATACATACATACATACATACATACATACATACATGCATGCATGCATGCATACATACATACATACATACATACATACATACATACGTACATGCATACATACATACATACATACATACATACATATGTACATACAAACATACATACATACATACATACATATATACATACGTACGTACGTACATACATACATACATACATACATACATGTACATACATACATACACAAAAATGCATGCATGCTGCATTATACGTGGTGCAATGGATGATGTGCTGTCTATGCGGAGCACCCTGGCACAGCCTGCAGAACTTGCAACAGCTTCACCAATTTAGAGCGGTTTCTGTTCAAAATGTGGCTCTCGCCTTCGAGTCGCGCACATTTGTCTGAAAAGATTGCAGCCGCTTCGAAGATGGAGGGCGGGCCGTTTGCAAAATGTGGCTCTCGCTCCAACGCCGGGCACAATCGTCTTTAATGGTTGCAACTGTGCCAGGGATAGAGGGCGCGCCGCTTTCAAAATGCGACTCTCGCCTTAGCGCCGCGCACATACGATTTCAAGGCGTGCAACAATCTTAAGAATGGAGGGCGGGTCACGTTCAAAAAATATGGCAATCGCCTGAGCGCCACGAACATTCGACTTCAAAATATGAGGAAGCTTCACGGATGGAGGGCGGGTCGTTTGCAAAATGTGGATCCCGCCTTGTCGCCGCGCACATTGGTCTTAGAAGTTCGCAAGAGCATCAAAGATGGTAGGCGGGCCGTTTTCAATAAATGACTCTCGCCTAAGCGCTGCGCATGTCCGTTTCCAAGGTGTCAGCAGCTTCAAGGATGGAGGGCGGGTCGTTTTCAAAATGTGCCAATCGCCGTAGCGCCGCGCACATTCGTCACGGATGGAGGGCGGGCTGTTTGCAAAATGTGGCTCTCGCCTTGGCGCCGCGCACGTTGGCCGTAAAAGTTTGCAAGAGCTTCATGGGTGGAAAGTGGGCCGTTTTCAAAGGTTTGCAACCGCTTCAGAGATGGAGGGCGGGTCGTTTTCATAGTGCGGCTCTCAGCTTAGCGGCTTAGCGCCGCGCACATTCGTCTTCAAAGCCTGAAGGAAATTCACGGATGGAGGGCGGGCTGTTTGCAAAATGTGGCTCTCGCCTTGGCGCCGCGCACATTGGCCTTGAAAGTTTGCAAGAGCTTCACGAATGGTAGGCGGGCCGTTTTCAAAACATGACTCTCGCATTAGCGCAGCGCACATTCGGTTTCAGAAATCGCAACGGGTTCCAGGTCCAAGGTTCGCCATGACACCCGTCGGCGGATACCAGTATCAACGCAGTGGGAAGGGATGCATGGGAGGGGTGGGATGTCAGAGATGGCGCGAGCGCACCTGGCTGGTCCTAATTACCCCCCACCCCTTCCCCCACCGCCCCGGCCCCCGACCCCCTCGACGACGACGACGAAGAAGACGAAGACGACGACGACGTCGTCGGCCTGGTGCTGGGCGCCCACGGGACCAGCGGTGTTCCAGTCCACCACACGCTCCAGCCGCCTCGGCTCCCACGGCATCTCGGCCTCGGCCACGAGCTCCCACCCCGCCTCTGCGGGTAGAAAGGACGGCACGAGCATCCCTCCTCCTCCTCCTCCTCCTCCTCCTCCTCCTCCTCCTCCTCCTCCTCCTCCTCCTCCTGCTACTCCTCCTCCCCACCACCTCCCTCCCTCCCTCCCTCCTCCCTCCCTCCCTCCCCCCCCCCCCTCCCTCCCAGCCAGCCATCCCTCCCTCCCTCCCTCCCCCTCCTCCCCCCCCCCCCCTCCCTCCCGTACTCCCGTCTCCCACCGCCCGTCGCTCCTCCCTCCTCCCTCCTACGTGCTCCATCCCTCCCTTCTCCTCCTCCTTCCCTCCTCCGACCGTACTCCTCCCTCCTCCTTCCTCCCTCCTGCCTCCTCCCTCCTACTCCTCCCTCACCCCCTCCTCATCCCACCTTCTTCCTCCTCCTCCTCCTCCTCCTCCTCCTCCTCCTCCTCCTCCTCCTCCTCACCTCCTCCTCCTCCTCCCCTCCCTCCTCCCTCCTCCTCCTCCTCCTCCTCCTCCTCCTCCTCCTCCTCCTCCTCCTCCTCCTCCTCGCTCCTCCTCCTCCTCCTCCTCCTCCTCCTCCTCCTCCTCCTCCTCCTCCTCCTCCTCCTCCTCCCCCCTCCTCCTCAGGCCTCCCGAGGTCCGGGCAGGTCGCTCGGATCGGTGCTGGGCGACCCCCCCCCCCCGGCGGCGCTCTCCGCGCGGAGGGGGGCGAGGGGGTCCAGCGCCGGTGCGGGACATCCGCGCGGAGCTGTGAAAGAGCAAAGCATTCGGACCTCACAGTCAACTCGTATGGTAAGGATGCGCGATAAGGATGCAAGGGCCTTGGATGCCCATTTCGAAGCTTTTCGAGCGGGGCGCGACCAGCGAAAGTGGCGAAGGATGGACCGAGGAGGCAAGGATGCAAGGGCACCCTTGGGGTTGTCCAGCCTTACTGTGCGGGTTGACAATGCTTGGTTGTTTTATGGACTATGTGTCATTGTTCTTCGAAGATCTGCCTGTAGGGGAACATGCCCGACCTGAACGCAGGAAAGAAGGACATCCTTCAAGAACACGAGACCCTCCGCCAGCCCAAACTGAAGAACCTCCAAGGGCTCCCTCCCAGGAGGCACAAGAACACCCAACAAGCACGAAGAGCACCAGAGCACCCCCTCCCCGAACCGACCTCGACCTTACACCTCTGTCCGACTGCACGGCAGGCTCGGCAGGCTCGTGACGATTGCGAGCCTTGCGTTGGCCTCTGACGCCGCGTGGGTCGCTCGACCTGGAACGCCCGCAGCTTCCCGACGACGCAGCCCGCTCGACGCTGACCAGTGGTGGACTCTGGCGGCATGCGGCCTCGGAACGCCCGCGATGGGGCCGCCGCCGCGTCGGCGTGGCACGAGGCTGCTGTGGCGGCAGCCTCCCCGGACATCCGCTGATCTGCTTTTCTGTTGTCCGTCCCCGGCCCCAGAAACCCCGACCGCTTGCCCCGGGTGCAGTGTTCCGTCTCGGATCCGCTTTCGGTGGCCCCGGGGTCCGAGATCGGGCCCTGGGAGGAAACAGGCCTGGATTAAACAAAAGAAGAAGAAGAAGAAGAAAAAACGTCACAAACATAAACTGCTGGCGCTCCGCGCGGATCTCTTGGATCTGCGCTGGACCCCCCTCCCTGGCGCGCGGAGCGCGCCAGGGGCGGCGCCGCCAGGGGGGCCAGCGCCGATGCAAGAAATCCGCGCGGAGCGCCAGAAGTTTATGTGTATGGCGTTGATCTTCTTCGAAAAAAAGAATATCACTGCACCGACCTTGCAGACGTGCTGCAGCGCATTTTTGCATGGATTTTTGCCCATACGAAACCCCGAAACGGCGAGCGAAAAACGCAGTGAATTTCACATGGATGTTTTGTAGTCTTCATTCCTGGCCAAAAAACCGCACGAAATTCACGTCGAAATCCGGACCGAACCTCTCCAGGACACTCCGGGCCCATCCGATTGCTTTTCGAACGAAATCCGCTCTGCGATGTCGGCGCCGTGAAGAGCATCGTCGGAGATCTGGGTCGACAGTTTTTCCTCCCCAGAGCCTCGGCGGAGCAGCCGGGGCGGCATGGCGCTCCGCGCCATGCACCCCCGCGGGGGCACCCCCGCCGGCGCCGATTTCTCGGATCCGCGCCGGGCACCCCCGACGGCGCCTCCGGCGCCGCCCCCGGCGCGCTCCGCGCGCCGGGGAGGGGGCCCAGCGCCGATGAAGGAGATCCGCGCGGAGCGCCAGAAGTGTATGCCGATGGCGCTTTTCCCTTCTCAGGTCGAAGCAGAGAATATCGTCGGAGCCTCCTCCGGGCCCAGCCGCTGCTGCTCCTCCCGCCGCTATCCCCTGCCCCTCCCCGCCCCCTCCGCCTCGCTGCCCCCGCTCCGGCTCCTCTGCCCCTGCCTCGGCATCGCTCGGAGGGGGAGGAGGAGGAGGAGGGGGAGGGGGAGGGGGAGGAGGAGGAGGAGGAGGAGGAGGAGGAGGAGGAGGAGGAGGAGGAGGAGGAGGAGGAGGAGGGGGAGGAGGAGGAGAGAATATCGTCGGCGATCTGGGTCGATAGTTCTTCCTCCCCAGAGCCTCGGCGGAGCCGCCGAGATCGCCGGGCACCTCGCGGCGCGGGCCGCCGTCGCCACCCTCGGCCAGGTCCCAGGCGATCTGCCGCTTCGGGGGCGCTGGGGCTTCCTGCGGGCGCGGCCCAGCCAGCGACGGCGCGCTCCTGCCAGGGGGGAACCAGAAGACGGCACAGAATGTTGGGTCGAGCGTGTCCCCCCTACAGGCGGGCTTGGGACGAAACATACAAAATACCCAAAACATATGTTACAAGTGCTCATGAGCAGTCAAAAAAAACGCATCCTGACTGTTTTTGAATATTCCTCCTGGAGAGGGACAGGCCCCACTTGAAAATAATGATGCGCATCGTCTGGCCGATCCCTCCCCACTGCCATGGCCTTGGCCCCGCATGGGGAAACAGCCACTTGCATGAACAGAAGCGTTTGGGAGGTCCGCGCGGGCTGATCGGATCGGCGCTGCACGCCCTCCCTGGCGTGGGGAGCGCGCCGCGGGATGCCCAGCGCCAATCCAAGAACTCCGCGCGGACCGTCGAACGCTGATGCCGTTAGAGGAAAAAGAACCATGCACATACACCGATTTGGGCCAGGTCCGTCCTGAACCCAAGATCGGTGCATACGCCCTCCTGCCTTGGCCAGGAAGGCATATGCACCGATCCTGGGGCCAGGGATGGGCCTGGCCAGGACCAGTGCATGTGCATAGTTCTCTTCGCCCGAGCCGTGTCGCCTTCCTCGACCACGGGCATGGCCTTGGTAGCCACTGGCCGACTTGCCCCCCTTGGCTGCGGATGTCACGGTTCCCTTCGGGCTGCGCGGGACCTGCCCCACCTGTGCAGGTGGCCGGGTGGGCTTCGAAACCATGGCCCACTGGGGATCGGTTGGCCAGGACGAGGAGAAAGTCGGGTGAGGATCAATCGAGAATCTCTGAGATCCGGCGGCTCTGGAGGATGTCCTGGGCGCCGCGGCCTTCTCGGAGCGCTCTGGAACGCTCTGGAACGGATTCGTCCTTAGGTCGGGCATGTCCCCCTATAGGCGAATGTCGGTCAAAAAATGAAAAAATACAAAACATGCCCCGAGATGATAAGAAGTAGTCGAAAAATCGTCCCCATATTATTTTTTACTATTTTTGAGTACTCCTCCTGTAGAGGGACACGCCCGACTTCGATTTGTCCACGCCCTGGACCCGCAGGACCCCCACCCCACTTGGCCCCGCGGCGGGGAGCGCCGAGCCCTCGGCGGGGGGGGGGGGGGCCACGCCCGTGGGCTGCCACTGGCGACCCCGAGCCCTCCGCGCTCCTGGGGGGGGGGCCGCCCGAAGACTGCTCGAGCAGGGGGTCGGCTCCAGAGTTGATCTACCCCCAGCTTGGTGTCCCCGCGGAGTCTGCCAGAAATGCGTACCATGTCCCGCAGATCTACTGACGTTCCACGCGCTTCTTGTATACTCGGCGGGAACATCAATTTGGGAGTAGACCAGTTCTATAGTCGGTCCCCTATTCAGACGACAGTAGGGGCTCGACCACAATAAGCCTACCACAAGAAACCCATACCTGAGACCCCAGGACGTCTGCTGATGTTTGGTGTGGGAGGCCCCACGCTTTCCATTGCAAAATAATCGAAAATCATCGAGACCCAAGAATAGAAGAAGAAGAAGAAGAAGAAGAAACACCATAAACATAAACTTGTGGCGCTCCGCGCGGCTTTATTGGATCCGGCCTGGACCCCCCTCCCTGGCGCGCGGAGCGCGCCAGGGGCGGCGCCGGAGGCGCCGCCGTGGGGGCCCAAGCGCCGATCCAAGAAATCCGCGCGGAGCGCCACAAGTGTATGTTTGTGCCGTGTTTTCTTCTTCGAAAGAAACCCAGGGCACCCTGGAGGCAAGCGAGGTGTTTCATGGCAAGGAGGATGAGGAGGAGGTGGAAGAGGAGGAGGACAACGAGGTGGAGGAGGAGGGCGAGGAGGAGGAGGAGGAGGAGGAGGGGGACATCCGAGGCAGGATGACCCACGGCGTTGGGTACAGGGTACCGCATGCCAGATGTGCTGCAAAGACTACCCCACGGTCAATCGACTGTTCCACGAGAACGTCAACGCCATCAGGGCCGCTCAAGCGGCCAATCGCAAGGCTGGGAGCGTCAGCGAGTGGGCCCAGCTACCCTGTAGGCCATTCTGTGGACCTCAGCTCGCGGTGATCCCCCCGATGCTTGAGGCCGAGCAAGCCCCGATCCGCACGATCCGCACGATCGAGCGCCCCATCGGCACCGCGGTCATGTACGTGCTGCACCTGTTCAGCGGCAGGAGGAGGAAAGGAGACGTCCAGCACTGGTTCGAGGCGATCCGAGCTGCATCAGGCCAGGACATCATCATGCTCTCAGTCGACGTAGGGAATGACCGCATCCGAGGTGACTTGGCGCGCGTCGAGAGCGTGAACTTCTGGAAGGACCTCTTCGTGGCGGGCCGCGTGGCGGGGCTCCTGGGTGGCCCACCGTGCGAGACGTGGTCGCAGGCGCGGCATCACGCGGTTCCCACCGCGCGCCGCCCGCCGCGTCCGCTGCGATCGGGTCAACGCCCATGGGGGCTTCACCACCTGAGGGACGCCGAGAGGGAGCAGGTCACCACGGGGAACCTACTCATGAGGGTGCAGGTGCTCTTCCTCTTCCTCTGCGGGGCCCAAGACGTGCCCAGCATGATTGAGCACCCCGCGGAGCCCGCGGACGCCGACCGTGCATCGTGCTGGAGACTGCCGGAGCTCCAGCACCTCTTCGCTCAGCCGTGGGCGGAGTACATCGACTTCGAGCAGTGCCAGGCCAGAGCGGGCTCCAAGAAGCCCACGAGGCTAGGGGCCATATGCGTACCCGAGCTTCGCAGGGAGATCAAGCGCTTGCCCAACGCAGGCAGGTGCTGCCACACGGATGACTACCACGCCGTGCAGCTCGGCCTGGACGTCCAAGACAAGTGGCGCACGGCGCCACTCAAGGAGTACCCGAGCCGCATGTGCCAAGCAGTCGCATCCGCCTTCGCGGCGGCAGTCTCCAGAAGGTGGGCAGAGCGCCCCGCCTCGCCTGACTGGTGGCCGTTGGAGGCCGACGTGGCGCCCTTTTGCCAAGCAGCGGGCCCCTTCAGAGAGGTCGGCATAGGCGCCGACTACCGCAGGCGCCAGGACCGACACGTCTCTCAGCGTCCGCAATGGCGGCTCGAGCACGGCAGGGCGGTGGGGGAGAAGGCGCTAGCGAGCTGCCCTCCTCTGAGGGCTCGGGCGCGAGCGCGGCCGCGCCGCCCCCATCCCGTCGCCCCTGGCCTCTCATCTCTTCGCCCACCCACTCTCGCTGTCGGGCTGCCCGCGGAACAGACCGCGGCCGCCTCGGAACAATTTTTGATCCGCGGGTCGAGAGCGCACCTCTTCCGGTCGAAGCTAAGCGGGCCGCGCGAAGCTTGAATTAGGCAAAGAAGAGGAGGGAGGGAGCGGCGGAGCCTCAGAGGCCGCCTCGGAACCCTGAACAGGGAGGAGGGGGAGGGAGGCGGGGAAGGAGGAGGCTCCACTGTCTGGGCGCGAGGGGACTTCTGCTCTCGGAGGCCCGCGCGGCCTCCTCGGCTCGGCGCCGGCCTCCCCCGGTGCTGGCGCGCGGCTCGCGCCCTGGGGCGGCGCCGGAGCGCGCCCGCCCGCGGGGAGTCTCCGGCGCCGATCCGAGAAGCTCGAGAACGACCTCCCAAAGCCCATGATTATTTGGCGGCGGGCGAGGGCTCGGGTTTCGAGGTTTTCGGGTGTCCTCGTCGGTTCTCGGCGGTTTTCCAGCCTCGGGGTACTTGCCAGCAGCTGCGCCTCGCCGCGAGCGTTCCACGGGTGCCCGGATCGTCCCGGACGCCCGCCGCAGACCCGAGCTATGACCCAAAAACCAAATTCGGCAGCGAGCGAGGGGGGGAAGTGAGCGGAGGAGGCCTTCTCAGAAGGCGACGAGATTTCTCAGAGTAGCCCCCCTGCCTTCCGAGGAGTCTGCTGCGTCTTCGGGGAAGGCTCAAGAAACTTCCCAGAGGCCAGGGGGACTTCCGAGCCTTCTGGGAGGGCCCGCCCCTTTTCACTTCCTCCCTTGCTCGCCTCCGAGATTCTGGCCTTTCTTCTGCGGCTCCTGTGGTGCCGCCCCGGCGACGCCAGCGACACGCGGTGCCCCCGGTCCTCGCAGGAGGGGACGCCATCGATGCGCCTAGACGTAGGTCGGGCATGTCCCCCGACAGGCGGATTTTGAAAGAACAATCAAACATTGGAAGAAACAAGAAATCAGCAACAGTCAACAAGATCCAAAATTAAAAACACAAAAAACAAACAAAACAAAAATCTGCATTTTCAGGCCAGAACCTGGACCTTCGACGGCCGCTCGGGACGATCTCGGCGCCCCCACGAACGCCACCAGCGAGGCGCGGCTGCTGGAAACCATCCAAAGGCGAAAACCTCCAGGAAGCACGTAAGATTAAATTTCACCTAACAATATAGAGGGGAACGATTTGCAGAATAGCTTCCGACTCGCGATGGCAAGTTGGAAGAAACGATCCAAACATGGCTCGAGCATATGAGGCAACTCGAATCGTTTCACTAATGAAATCAAGTTGGAAGGATATCGGGATCCTACTGGGACAACCTTGGAATCGCGGAATCCGATTGGAGCCCTGGAATCCAATTGGAATCCGATTAGAATCCAAGTATAGTTCCCGTTAATCCCCTGGTACAGCTCCTGATATTGTATCTCCTGATCAACTCCCAGTGCAGTTCTTATTATCACATGTCCTACTACAGCTCCTGGCGCAAATCTCAACAACATCAAATGATAGCCCTTGGAGCAGCTCCCATATAGCTCTTGTCACTACAGCACCTGTTACAGCGTACTCTAGACTGTAAAACTTCGATTGCATATTCTACGAAAGCACCTGGTACAGCCCAGACACAGTTCGTGATGCGACAACGGCCACCCACATCCTATGCCAACTTCTACCACAGCATATATTTCACCTCCAACTGTAACCCATCAACGCCTATCTCCTGTAACAGCTCATAATGGTTACAGGTCCTACCCATTCGTCGGAACTGCATCCCGCTGCTGTTCACTCTCCTCCGTTCACCTTTACCCTGGCCCGTCGGCCGTCCGGGCGCGCGCCCGACGAAGAGGGGGAAACGATTTAAAGAACCTAATTTCACGGCCAGGGGCCGGCTCTTCCAAACATCATACCTGGCGCCGCCGCGTGCACACGACTCCCGGTAATTTCTGAATCATCATCCCGTATACTGCACAGACATAAACAGTTGGAGCTCTGCGCGGATTTCTGGACCCCCTGTGTGAAAGGTTTAAGACAGATGCCATAACTCGGAGTTTCCGCAAGAGCTGCCGCTGCGCCTGGCCAAAATCCATCGCCAGCCATCCGAGGCGCGACCTCGAACTGGCCACGCATCCGTCGCACTGCCACGCTCAACCCTACGACTGCGCCGCACTCCCCCGCATGAGACCAGGGGCGTGTGTGGCAGTGCGCGCCCCTGGCTGCGGCCGTTTAAAAGGCCACGACTTGTCGCGTGCAATTTTGTCCACCTCCCCTTCGTATCCACTCCTCTCCGCGCGTCCTCCCCACCCCCCTGTCTTGCGACCCCGCCTCACATCCACGGATACTGCGCCTCCTCGGGGTAACGTTCGGGCCTCGATTTACGGCTCATCCCTCCCTCTCCTCTCCTCTAGCCTCCGATCCCCTTCAGCACGAGTGCAATCCTCGAGTTTCGGCCACGTTCGCAGGGCACGTCTTCCCCCAGCATCTCGATACGACAACGTGCGGACCCAAGAAGGTTTCGAACGGCAACCGAGGGAAAAGTCATCCTCCTCCTCCTCCTCCTCCTCCTCCTCCTCCTCCTCCTCCTCCTCCTCCTCCTCCTCCTCCTCCTCCTCCGCCTCCGCCTCCTCCTCCTCCTCCTCCCCTCCTCCTCCTCCTCCTCCTCCTCCTCCTCCTCCTCCTCCTCCTCCTCCTCCTCCTCCTCCTCCTCCCCGCATTCCCCCTCCTGCTCCTAGTGTTTCTCTTCCTCGTCCTCGTAGGCTAAAAGTGAACTAAATCTGAACTTAAATTGGGCTGAAAGTGGGCTAAACTGGGATCGGAGTCTGGGCCAAACTGCCCCAGCGAATCTCCACTACGTCCTCGTCCTGCGAATTCATGAACCCGGTCGGAGCTCTTTCCTGTGCCCAGTCGGTCGAGGGTTTCTCATGCTCCTGTAATGCTTGTGCAATGTCGCTACCACGGCTGTGTTCCCGTTCGTCGTGTTCGTATTTCCGTCGGGCCCCTGGTGCGCGCAACTGGAAGACTGGGAGCTCTCGGGCTAAATCTGGGCTCCAAATTGGCTAAAAGTGGTCTGGAAATGGGCTTAGAGGGGGCCGAATGTTGGCATAAAGCGGACTAAAAGTGGGCTAACAGTGGCCTGAAGGTGGGCTGAAAGTGGGCCAAAGTTGGGCTGAAGCTGAGCACGGTAAAGCCACCTGGATGCGACGTTCTACCAGTCCCCCACGAACGCAATGCCACTCCACGCCACGTTTCGGGGCCACGCAAACTACACTGGCAATGCACCACGGGTAGTGCACCCAATGTTTACATTACACCTCCTCCCCCTTCCCTCCGTCCCTCCGTCGTCCTCCTCCTTTCTCCGTTATTATCTTCCCTTGTTCCCTTCCTTCATTAAAAAAGCGGGGGGGGGTTCTGGTCCCACGCAGAAAGCTGAGGGGAATGCCACAAACGCTCGCAGCGGCCGCGGCGCAAAATAGGAGGCGGACTAGCACGGCCCGGGCGGCAGGCCGGCAGCAGGAAACGCAGCGAACGCCGCGGCGGAGCCGAAGATGCCCCAGAGCACGGCACCCTCGAAATCAAGACAACTTTGCTTTGGCTATTTATGCCATACAAATGCGCAAACATAGAATCCTGGAGCCTAAAACTTAAGATCGCCAGGCGGCCAAGGCGCGGCACACGGGAACGCGATCTGGCCAGGCGGAGATTCCAAAGTTCATCGGGCCTCTCACCTGAAAGTTTACAATCCCCTGCCCTGGCGCACGGAGCACGGCAGGGGCGGCGCCGGAGGCGCCGCCAAGGGGTCTGGCGCCGACCTCCGAGAAATCCATGCGGACCTTCAAAATGTATGTGTATCAGTTCTTCGAATTCCGAAGCGAGAAAGCCTTCAGGAGCACACCTCTGAACAAACTTCGTCGGAGATCCGGGTAGCTTGGTGCCCCCCCCCGGAGGCCTCCAAGACGGTCCCAAGGCGGTCCCAAGGGACTGGCCCCAGATGCCTCCACATTTCTCCCCTCGCGCGCCTCCGCACACCT